CATGACGTCCACCGCCCATTCTCTGGCGGGGCCCAGGGCTGGAGCGCGCAGAGCCAGCAGCAGTCAGCAGGAAGTGAAAGCGGCACTGTGGAGCCCGTTTTGCCTCAGGGCGCACTGGTGAGGCTACAAGTCCCTCTTCGGAGGGGAGGAACGGGAATGCAGCAAGCGTGGCCCTCGGCAGGGAAGACCTCCGGGCCAGCCCGAGCACTGTACTGCGGGAGCTGGGGCTGGGTAAGGCCGGCAGTGCGGCCCCTCTCGCGCCCACTGGCCCCCACCTTCCCACACTGAAGCCTTTGCCCAGGGACGCCAGGCCACAGACAGCGACGGTGCCACCACCCAGCCCTGCCCTGGTGCGCCCTCGCTCCGCTCCTCCCGCGGTTCCTCTCCCCAGTGCCCAGCCGGTTGGGGGGAGGGGGGAGAAAGCCCCCCCCCCCGCAGGGCCAGGCAGGGGACCAGCAGACCTTGCCCTGGGGGGGCGGGTGGGGTTGGGGGGAAACTGCAAGTCACCGCTCTTGCTCTCCTTGTTTTGGCCAAGCCGGTGCGGGAGAATTTAAGTTTCTTAGTTTATTCTCTCCAGTTCTCCCCTCTGTCCTTCAATAAGGAACTGTTAGAAGCATTTGAAAAATCATTTGTGAGAAAACCTTCAGGAGGACCTAGAAGGAGCAGGCACACTTGGGGTCGTCCACTCTCTTCTTGGTGTAGTGTGTTTTAACTTCAACATTTTTAAGACTCGACTCAGAGGGGCTGTCGCACTGTAACATGTCTCCTCACTGTATCAAGGGTTAATTGAAATTCAAGATGAAATTTTTATAATGTGCTAAATTGTCCAGGAAAAATTGAACACTCACTGAATAGATTTCATATGTTCGCAAGCATTTAAGACAAGAATGAAGAACCTTAAAATACCACCAACATCATTACCAGCACCACCCCGCCACCCTTGGTGATACTGGGGATGGACCCAGGGCTTTCCCAGCCCATTTTGCTGTCTAATTGCCCAGGCTCGGCTTAAACTTGGGGTCCTCTGTTGTGCCCAGATCGCGAGGTCCCCAAAGACCACCAAGGAACCGATTCCGATGTAAACACACGAGGGTCGTTTATTCAAGCTTGAGCAGGGACTCTCAGCTGTCACCGACGCAGCGGGTCAAGATTGAGAGCCCTGGCTCTAAAACACCAGGGGTTTTTATAGAGGTTACAGCAGGGCGCGGGGTTTCAAATCACACGCAAATCACACAGTTGGCTAGCATTTAGCAAGTTTTGAAAGTTTAAACCTAATTGGCTGGGCCTTGCGCACTGAACTGCAAACAGCTGCTCAAGTCATCGAAAAGAACATCTGGGATACTGGGGTATTGGGGTAACTACTGATTAGCTGTTGCAGGCCATCAAGAAGAGCATCTGGGACATTGAGGCAGCTACCGATTAGCTGTCGCTAGGCTAGTTGCTAGGGGACTGCTGGACATTATCACAGGCAGGTGGCCAAAGTGCATCTTGTGGTTTTTCTCGGAACTAGAATTTATGTCCAGGCCACCTTTACTCTAAAATGAGGCCAAAACTTTAAAATGGAGTCACTCAGGTCTCACACCTCCCACCCCAGTTTCCTAGAGAATTGGAACTACAGGCAGCACACCACCAGCTCAGCAGATGTTCACGTAACTACAGCCCTGGATCACATTAATATTACAGCTTGGCAGACACACCTCATTCCCTGTGCTAATGAAATCCTTTGACAGCAGGAAGGAAAGAGTATTGGTTTATCAAAAGATGAGTAGAGTTACAAGCTTAGTTAAGCTATTTATACTTAGTTGTGCTAAGCTATTCCCTTAGTTATGGGAAGTCCTTTATTTTTAAGATGTGCATATAGGTTCTTACTGAAAAGGGAGGTTTGGAGAAAGAAGAAAATAGGCAGAACTCTGAGAATTTGTAAGCTGAATTAAGACTAGGACAAAAGACATTTCAAATGAACTGATTGACTTGCCCAAAGATTATTACACAAAAACATCTATACTGCCATATATCAGTCCACAACTGGAAGTTTAAACTTAAAAATTATTGTTTACTGTAGCACTAAAATCATGAGATATTCAGCTTAATCTAACACAATGTGCATAATGTGTGCTGAAAACCACTGCTCACCAACAAGACAAGGGAGCAGGGTTGCGGGGAGGAAGTGAGAGAGGCAGGTCTGTGGGCCAGGAGGCCTGAAGCTTCACTGTTGGTAAGGTGTCGGTCCTTGCAGATTTACTTAGTGAATTCACTTTGTGGAAAGGGAAAGAACTTGAAGAGCCAGGAACTTTGAAAAAGGAAAACAAAGTTGGCATCAGAACCTCCTTACTGTAGAGCTGGAGTAATTACAACTGTTGGGATTGTTAAAAGGATGATTGCACAGGTAGTGAAGCTGATTAGACAGCGTCTGACAATTAGATGTCCACTTACCAGGAAAGAAGGCTTGGCTTTTACCCATTCCTCAAGCCACAGACAAAAATGAACTCAAATAGGTCGCTCTGACTGGAGAACTTAAAGACGTAAAACTTGTAAAAGAAAACACAAGATAAACTTTCTTCGTGTCCTTGGGCCAGACTAATTGTTCTCTGACACAGCACTGAAAGCAAGATCTATTACGGAAAAGAGTAATAAGATGAACTTAAATAAGTAAAGTGGAATTAAAAACTTCAGAAGACACCGTTAAAAGAATGCAAAGATGAGCTATAGACTGAAAGATTATTTGGAAATTACAAATCTGACGAAAGTCCATAAGGACCAGAATATTCAAAGACCTCTTAACTTTAGTAATAGGAGAACAACCCAACAGCAACAACAGCTGGCCGAAAGATTTGAATAGATATTTCACTAACGAAGGTATGCAAATGGCAAACGAGCTTTCAGCTGTGGAATTTGTCATAGGCTAGTGAGGAGGGGGAGCAATTAGAACTCTTGCACATTCCTCGTGGGAATGCAGTTTCTTATAACGTTTGAAATATGCTACTGTGTGGCCCAGAAATCCCACTTATGTATCTCGCTGCCCCAGGAATGAAAGTCAGAGCTGACCCAGGAGCATGTTTATGACTGTGTGTAGTGTCTGTCTTCAAAATTACCAAAAGCAGGGAACAAAGGTGTGGTTCATCTGTGGGGTGAATGTTCCGGGCAATAGGAAGGAATTTCCTAAATACACAGAATCTTACATGCATTATGCTAAGAAAAACCCAAACTCATGAAACTGTGTTTTAAATAATTCCATTCATGTGATGTCTGGAAAAGGCAAAACTATAGGGCCGGAAAGCACACCCTTGATTGTAGGGATGAGGGACCTGAGGGAATTTTGGAGGAAGATGAAACAGTTTGCAGGTTTGGTGGTTAAGGTTACAGAGTGTGTGTGTTTCTCAGAATTCATAGAACTCCACATCAAAAAATGCAAACTAGAAAAAATTGCAAGTTTACAGTATTTGTTTTAAGAGGGATTAGGTAAGAATAATTCATCCTGAAGTTGCTACTCAGAAGTGAAGGCAGTCTTTGTGCATGTATGTCAGAGAAAGCAACCATCTTACAGTTTGTTACTGTAACAGTGTTGCTCATTGGATGCTAAGTCATGCCTCCTTTAAGCCACATGATAAAAGGAAACGATATAGTATTGCATAATCTTTAAGCTCTCCTGCAGTCTTTTTGTGTTACCTAACCCCTTGCTAAGTGAAATTACTCCCTTAGAAAAGTTTGTCGAACCATTGACACCACCGGAGTGAAGTTGTGGAGGAAGAAGTCAGGGAGCTCTTTCTTTGAAGGGAGCTGGGGAGAAAAGCCATGCAGAGATTAAACCAACTCTAGGGGAGGGTAAAAGCTGAAATGAAGTCCAAGTTTCAGCAGGAGAATGAAGGTACAGTATTTAGGGTCCGAGGAGGGAATACATAAGGAGAGTAGTATTGGGCTGAACTAGAGAATGGCAGCTTAGAAGCCATTGGAAATCTACTCTCCTCGGCATGTTAACTTGACTTTGCAAAAGGACGCTGCCTGTAGTCGGTGGCAGTTTGTTGGATCATAGAAACAATGCCTGTGTGATTTGTTGACGACGTCTACTTATCTGTTGTGGACTAGAACTTCCGTAGCCTTGAGGACCTGCAAGAAGAGATGGTGTATTTTTAGATTGTTTCTTAAAGGAAAGCAACAAGCTAGTCAGTGGTCTGCGCAGCACCTGGCATGTATTGAGTGTTCAGTGGGTGATTGGATGTTGATACATTTGGTAACTAAAGGAGAGAGAACTGTTTGTAAGTAAACCTATCGCTTTTGACTCTTGAGATTGAGGAATGTTATCTCTAACGCCACTTTGCTCTCCTGACATCTGTCTGAGCGGAAATTAATCATGTTCCAGCTTGAGTCAGGCAAGTGGGGAAAAGAATCCTAGGACATTTTCCTCTGTGCTTTTGTCTTGCTTCAGCTCTGTGACCAGTGATTTCCTGTGTGCCCACCCGTGCTTCTTGGTTTCAGGGAGAGGCTGGAGTGGGACCTCGGGCAGTGTCCTCGAGACTGGAGTTGTCTGTGGCCTGGGGCCTCATGAGCCCTATGAGGCTGCACGGAAGCGTGTGTGTTTTCTCCTCTTACATTGTGAGGATTTTCAGAATTAAAGTTGGATGGAGGAAAACATAGGTGTAAATACCAGAACACATACTTAGGGCGCTGGTTACCTCTCTTACACACACACGCCATTTCTCTTTGAAGAGGAGAAGTCAGAGCAGAGAGCTCTTACTGCCTTAAAAAAAAGAGCAGCAACTCTTTTTTTCTTTTGTATCTTTCTTGTTTTTCTTTCTAAAAAGTCATTTTTAGTTCTCGTACAGTGAAATTGACCTTTTTATGCACACAGTTCTTTGAATGTTGGCAGGTATGAGGACAGAGCAGCTCTGTCACCCCCGCAGTCCCTGTCCTCGCTTGCCCATTGTTAACAAGGCGTCTGTAACGCCGCTGGTTCTCTGCACTGAGACGTGGCTTCTGAGCTGTCCGTCATGTCTTGGCTGCAGGTGACTTCGCCGTGCTCCTCAAGGCCGGCATGACCGTGAAGCAGGCCATTGTGTACAACCTCCTCTCCGCCATGATGGCGTACGTGGGCATGCTCATCGGCACGGCAGTGGGCCAGTACGCAAACAACATCACGCTCTGGATCTTCGCCGTCACCGCGGGCATGTTCCTCTATGTAGCCCTGGTGGACATGGTAAGGCGCTCCATGTGTTCTTCTTGTCCTGAATCTGCAAGTAGAATGCAGCTTTCAAAAAGGGAGGGAATCCTAGAGTGGTTTGAAACCAAACTGTCCTTAAAAATATAACCCATGTTGAAGAATGCAGTATCCTATATAATCTGTTGTGGAGAGGCATTAAGGTAGGATCTCTTTTCCAAAACAGTTGGGATGCTGAAAACTTCTGAGCAAGTGATGTCTAAAACACCAGTAGTAGTATATGCAATTACAGAACAGTTACACCGCTCTGCAGATACTGGGACAGCAGTGTTTTATTGCTCTTTTTTCAAGCTTGGTGTATGGTAAAAAATGGAGAAATACGACACCTGTCTGGTAAGCCAGCCTTCTTTGGGAAATTGGTATGTATTCCAAGAGATTCCTGTCAACTTTCTTATTGCTAACTTCAGCTTAAAGCTGATAAAGCTAAAACGCTGCAAGTGAGGTTTACTTCAATTTTGTTGTAATACCCTAAATATGACAGTGTTTCTACAAAACTAGCAGTTTGGTTTGTTTTTAACTAGGTAGTACATTCGCTTCTACCCCTAGTAGACTATCACATTGTCGGATTTCATAGTTAAGCAGTCTAATTTTTTTTTCTTTCGTTTTTTTTTTTTTTTTTTGGTGCTGGGGATTGAACTCGGGTCCTTGTGGTTGCGAAGCAGGTAGCGGAACCGCTGAGCTAAATCCCTGGCGGCCTAAATTCTAATCATAGAATCAACGCCTGTTCTCAAAAGTTGCAAACCATGAAGAAGGAGAAGCGATAAATCTAATTTACACTGTTCTGTCTGGGTAGCCCTCTGCTCTCCTCAGACCTCTGACTTCCTCCGCTCCCCTCCCCTCCCCTCCCCTCCCCCAGGGCCCCTTACTTCCTGGGCCCCGCAGCCCCTGCCGGCCAGTGTCCATGTCCCTCTGGCCCCATGTCCCTGTGGGCACATGGCCTGAGTGTCCTGCCCTCGGGAGAGGCTCTGTTAACTTGGCTTCCCCTCCAGCTGTCGCCCTCTTCCCTGGTTCAGCAGATTGATCGCTGCGTATTCTCTTTTCTTCCTTGAGTCTGATGCTGTCAGTTTCCCCGACTGCTCTGCCAGGCAGAATTCCCTGTGAAATCTGCCGTGGTCCTCAGCGAGCCTTAGCCCACTGGTCATCTGGTTGTCCTGGCGGCAGCACCCACCAGTTGCTCTCTCCTTCCTCTTTGTGGAAGGCGTTCCTGCCTCATTCTGATCTGTGGGAACAGGTGCCGAGCAGTGCCGGGGTGGGGGAGTGTCACAGTAAGGCGGTGGTTGGAGAAGAGCCGCCGTCCACTGCAGTTCTTGAGCACGTTGTGATGCCATGATGCACCGTGTTTGCTGCTGGGGAGAGGAGGCTGGGGCTGCACTGGGGCTGCTCTGTGACAGGGCGTCTGAGGGAGGCTGGGAATGGGCAGGGCGCCCTGGACTGAGGGAAGGGCATCGCGAAAGCCCACGATGCTTGGTGACGTCCCTTTGGCTGCACCTTTGCCCCCAGGCTTGTGCGCTGAGGAAATAACTACTAGCAGGACAAGCCAGCAAACACAGTGGCATTCTTTGCAATTTCACAGTCACATTGGAAGTGCTGTCGGTGTTTAAGAGAAAGGGAACAAAGTCTGTCTATTTTCTAATATTTTTATTGACAACCACAGTTACCATTTTCTAAATGTTGAATGTAGAAATGGCATGCATGTTGTCACCGAGTGGCTGTCACACATCGTGGCAGGCCATGCCCCCGTGTAACTCTGGGAGCCATTAGATGGCCTGGCCACCTGGGCTGTGGGAAGATTTTTATTTATTTAATTTAAAGCTCTTTGAGAAGACAGCAGCGCCAGACAGTTTACTTTGAGGCTCCCGCAGGATGTCCCGGTGGATCTGGGACTCAGCAGGTGGTCTGTAGGCCGGTCCAGAAGCCGTGCCAGGGTGTCAGTGCCAGGCCGGAACTGCCCTGGGGAGGCGCGCTGCCTGCTGTGCTGGGGCTGCAGGACTGATGGGAGGTGGTGCGGCACTCTGGACAGGTTTTCCCACAAAACCAAGGAGAAGGGAGAAGAAAGAAGCAGCCTTTCACTAGAGCTGGCGCAGGGGCTGCCACTTGTGAACTGCGAGCTTTGAGCTGTCCCTAAAGATGTGCTTCCTTTCTGCAGCTCCCGGAAATGTTGCACGGTGATGGCGACAGTGAGGAACACGGCTTCTGCCCTGTGGGGCAGTTCGTCCTGCAGAATTTAGGGCTGCTGTTTGGGTTCGCCATCATGCTGATCATCGCGCTCTATGAAGACAAAATCGTGCTTGACATTCAGTTCTGAGGGCTCCAGGAGCCCTGAGGATGCAAGGGTCCCTCGCGCCTTGGTGCCATCCGTCCGCCAGTGGCTTGCAGTGCTCACGAGTCCCGCAGTTGAGCCTTGCCCTGAGACTGGTGCTCAGTACTCTCTCCCCGAGTACAGGGATATTTTAAAGTTTGAGACAGGAGAAAGTGGGACTCCATGAACTAATGTCAATGTATGTTTGATTAAGACTTTTTAAAAAGTAATCATATAAAACACTAAAGTAGTCTCCTTACTAGTAGAAACTTCTGTGGCTATGCAGAAATAAAAACTGAACCAAAAAAATCATTTAAACCTTGAGAATATATGAAATGAACTGTGAGCGGATATGTCGTGTGCTAAGGATGGCACGTGGTGCCCTTTGTTTCAGCTCCGTGCCTGCCGCCATAGGGACCAGCTCAACACAACTTTGAAACCACGTAGTAGATAAGAACTAGAGGAAAGCTCAGGCTGCGGTAGGGTATGAATTAGCATCGGGGAAAACCCTTATTCTTGAATCTAGAGTTACTATTTTTGTATATATTTGCATAGTGTTTAAACCTGCAGCCTAAACTACTGAAATTTGTGATTGTATGTTTGTGTGAGCTTTGGTTTAATGACAGATTCATAATGGTTCTTTGTACTGTTATACTACTTGGTGTTTGGGGGTATTTTTCTGTTTTTTAAGACTATAATTTTGCTTTTGTTTGGGGGAGGTGGGGGGTGTCAGCATGTGGTCAAATGGTTTTTCCTTACGATTACAACCTTCTAGAACATATCAAAGAAATGAACCCAAACATGGTCTAAATTACTCAGTTTTCCAACTTGACAGTACTAACTCAGTTGGTTGGGAAACTGGATTTCCAAATGTTCGCATCCTAGTTTGGCACCGGAAGCCAGGCACCGGCTGTGAATGGCTGTGCGTTGCAAGGCACAAAGTGCAAGTTTGCAGCTGCCTGCTGTGGGCGTGAAGTGTTGCCTGCACAGTGCCAGGGCAGATGCGTCATGCCGGACGGGTGTGGGGCGGAGGCTGAGCCCAGCTCTCTCAATCCTCTGTGCCAAGACGCGCTGCTGGTTCCCAGCAGGGACCGGTTCCTTCCTGGGTGCCCGTTCTCCTGCCAGTCGCACTTGCAGCGACTGAGAAGCGCAAGCCACGTTTCTCCCCCATTTGGCGGGTCATGTGTAGTGCTAGTCGTGCATGTAGGCTTCGTTTACACTCCTTGCCATGTGGTTTCACCTAGCACGTCAGGCCAGTGCCTGGCGCTGTGCCTGCCACCGTGTCTCCATCTGCCTGGCAGCCAGTGTAGCTCCTTATTGATCTTCCCGCTAGACATGGAAGAGCCAGACTCTCCATTCCATGTGAAACGTCTCCATTGCATCCTCTCCTCCTCCCAGTTCCTCTCCTCTTACTCTGTGGATTTTTAAAAAACAACCAAACTTCAAGAGCAGCACACCTATCCTGGTGTTAATAGATTATTGCCAGTGTTTCTGCTTTACGCTGCAGCACAGGAGTAGATGGTGTTACATCCTTGAGTTATGCTTGAATCTGAAAATTACTTTTGCTTTTCTCGTGGCCTCTTTGTAATAACCACATAGATTGTTTTCAGCGTTGGGCACTGAATCGAGACAGCCCTCATTTCATTGCTTGGCCCTTCAAGCAACCTAGTGAAAAGGTGCTGACATTTTATTTAGTACTGCCAACTGTACGTGATCTTGCTTTTGGAACCAGGAAATACTTACCAATCACTTTTTTGGGTTTTACACCCAACGAGGATTCTGCATTCCAGCTTTAAATCTGCTGCATTTAAAAGCAACAGCTGGAATATATTCCCAGTCTTAAAAGAAATGCCTCATTCAAAGCAGATAGGTTATGCTAAGGTATACAAAGTTTTATATTCTCTCAGAAGTGGTATTATCTTTCTTTGCTAGATTTTCTTAACTTCGTAAGAGGTCTGTAACAGTTGCTGCTAGTATTTTGATAAGGTTCCACCAGTGGTTAGTTTTCACATCATTTTTCTAGTGCATAGTTTCGAGTCTTACTAGACAATCTTAATTCCACTACATTTCTGTTTGGCTCCAACATTCCATTAGCTTAACCAGTCTAATTTTAACATGCGTTTGTTGGAGGTCATTAATGTTACTTGTACAACGCTGTCACTGTGTGACATCCATATGAATTTTGATGTATATCACATTGCATTCAATCAGCTGTGATTATGCTTAGAAATACTATAGTAACTATGTGCAGTGTGAATTTTTACCATTAACAGTAAGTCAGTGGCTTAAATGTGATTATGGTTCTGCAAGGTGATCTTGCTAAAATATCTAAGCTTTTGTTGTAACTGATATCATTTTTTAAAAATTTATAAAGCTGGAAATGATCATATGCTGTTTTTTTCATTGTCAACAGTGCTGTGTCATTTTATGTATGTTCCTGATGCTTATGGAACTCTCCCAGAATAAAGTTATTCCAAAAGAGCAAATACATCAGCGTGTTTCCCTTACTGTTCTATGAAGTTTCCTTACGTTATATATCAATCATTGTAAATGTGGGCTGCATTTGCACAGAGTAAACTCATAGTTAAGAATATTACTCAGATTTATTGAAGCCAAAACACTTGCTTGAACAAAACGTTCTTTCAACAACCCTAACGAGAAACGAGACCAAGGGAATGAGCTCTTGCTCGAGTTTAGGAGTTGAGTTGGCACAGCAGCGCGACGCCGCGGCTGATCCAGTGCTCCCTGGGGTGGTCGGAGGGGAGAGTCACGGCGATCACGAAGTTGGTGGAGTGGCCTGTGGTGGACAGTGTTCCTCTCCGCTCGCTAGTCTTGTACAGTGGCGCCACATAGCTCGGTCGTTCGGGTATGTCTGCCCTCTTACAGGGCTTCAGCCACATCTGGAAGAAAGTGCATGACACCTTCACACCGAGGTTAAGGTTAGGGACATCTGGCAGTGTCTGTGGCCCTGGTGGATTTCCTTTTTCTCAGCCCTGCTGTGATTGCGCAAAAATAGAGTAGCAAGAGTGCTGCAGGAGTGGCACACGGGTGCTGTGTGTGAGAACCAGGCATCTGGCCCTGCCCTGGAGACTGGGAGGTGGCCAGCTGCAGGTTCTATGCGGGGCTGGCTCAGGGTGGTTGCCCTTGAGCCTCCTTTCCCTGTCTCCCAGCCCCTCACAGACTTCTGTTGCTAACAAGAGGACAGCTGCTGGTACTGCTGCTGCTCACCACCCACAGAGATGTGCTGCAGCCGCAGGGCCTAGAAAGTCCATAGAGAAACCGCCCTAGGGCTGGTCTTGCTCAGCTAGCACCGTTCCCTCCTGCAGCCACCTCAGCCAAGGTGAGTTCTACCCATCTCTGTTCCAAAGCTGTCCCACTGGATCACCAGCGACCACTACAGAGGAGGGAACTGGGAGAGAAAGCCCCCAGCTGCTGCCCTGCCTTCAGGGCACCACAGCCTAAGGTCTGGAGAGAAGCTGCCAGTGCTGGATGCTGTCTGCTCTTGCTCTTGCCTGTGAGCACCAGGCAGAGAGGATGTGTGCCCAGCTCTGTCCACAGCCCACTCCTGCTCCATCCCTAGCAGGCACAGCCACTGCAAGAATCCAGGAAGAAAGTCCCTGTCACCCATCTCCCAGCATGCACAGCTAGGGAGCGTCCTGCACACACGCACGGGAGAGAGGAGTAACGTTTTGCTTCTGGTGCTCCTTCACAGGTCTCCTACATCCACTGACTGCACCTCATCTGCTCCCTCACTGCTGACAAGATGGTATGAGTGCCACAGAGGGTTCTGTGACCACTGGACCTGTGCCTCCCAGTGAAGGACCTGGACTCACACCACGGGCTAATCCAAGGGCAGGTGCTCCAGATCCCTCATTAGCATTAATCAGCCAATAACAGAGATCCTCCCAATTAACAACCAATATTGACAGTGCCTGAGGAAACCCACCACTCATGAGGGGTCACCACTCCTTTACAGCTGGAACCACACAGGTGCACCCCATAGACTTTCCTAGCTACACTGCATTTGCCTGAACTGCTAGTGTCCCATCCTTGCAGGTCTCACAGAGATGACTCTCCAGCTCTGATATGGCACATACTGTCCAAACTATAATCACAGCCAAAGAAGCTATAGGGAGATGACACTGTGGCACACAACTGCAAATAAACACTGCATAACAAAACAATACTCTACAACGCATCTTCAGGATAGTGCCCCTTACTAAGAAGGCCATCCCTAAGAGTGGTAGATACTCGTTCCACCATATGCACCTAGGACTATAAGAAAGGCAGAAAAAATGTTAATATGACACCTAAAATTCATAATACTATAGTAACATCTCAAAGATACAAAAAAAAAAATTCCTGATGAATTTAAGAGAATGATTTTTTTCAAGTGCCATGACAGCCAAGAGACTACAGATAAATAGTTAAATTAGGAAGACAATGTAGGATATAAATGAGAAATTGAGCAGAGATTTTTTTTTTGGTACTGGGGATCAAACTCGGGTCCTTCCGCTTGCGAGGCAGGCGGCCAAACCACTGAGCTAAATCCCCAGCCCTCAGCAGAGATTTTGAAAAAGATCTTTGAAATGCAGAGCTTTCCAGGTCAGATTAAAAAAAAAAAATTTAGTTGAAAGATTTGAACAACAGACTAGATCAAGGAAAGGAAAGAATACTGCAGCTTGAAGACAAGTCTTTTGCAATATTCACATAGAAATAAAGGGGGGAAAATGAAGAGAGCACATAAGATCTTTCGGACAGCCTTAAAAATAAAATATTTACATCATCAGCATACCCAAGGGGAAAGAAAGGTTAGGGGCATAGAAAATCCATTCAATGAAATCACAGTACAAAACTTTACTAATCTCGGGGAAGCTCCAAGTAGACATAACCAAAAAAGATCCTCATCATGATATAGTTAAACCATCAAATGAAATTTGCAAGAGAAAACTGCCAAGTCCCATTCAAGGGCAATCCTGTTAGATTGACAGATTTATCCCTATGAGCCAGGTGGCATGAAATAATTTTATTTTAAGTCCTGAAAAAAAAAGTCACATGATTACTATACCTAGCAAAGCTATCTTTCAGGATCAAAAGAAAAATACAAACCTTCCAAGATAAGCAAAACCTAAGGGAAATCATTCCCACCAGATTAGCCTTACAAAAGAGATTCTATAAGGGACTCCTTAAGGGAGTCCTACACCAAAAAGTGGAAGAAAGATAAATACCATCACAGTAGCATGTGACTATAAATCTTTTAGAGGAGTAGATACACAAATGAAAAAAGTCAAACTTTATCAGCACAGTAAAACATCAAACCACATAGATGAAAAAGTGGAAGAAATGAGCAAAGAATATTCAAAACAACTAGAAGAAAATCAGGATGATAGGCACAAGTTCATATCTTTCACTAATAACTATGTAAATCATCTTAATTCTCCAATTAAAAGATGCCGACTGGCTCCAATAAAAGATATACTGCCTAGAAGAAACTCACCTCACCAGTAAGGACATAGTTCACACACTGTGATGGTTAAGGTGGACTGTCAATTGACTTGGGAGCCACCGTGGGAAATTAGCACACTTCTGGGTGTGTCTGGGTGTGTCATGGAGGGTCACATTGCGGTCCTCTCCCCTTTCTCTCTTGATAAATAGTATTTTTTGTTTTGTTTTGCTTTTTTGGTACCAGAGGTCAAACTCAGGATCTTGTGCTTGCGAGGAAGGTGCAGTGTCACTAAGCTAGATCCCTGGCCCTACTTTTTTTTTTTTTTGGAGACAAGGTCTCACTTTGTAGTTCAGGCTCACCGTGAACTCACTATGTAGCCCAGGTTGGCCTCAAGCTCAGTGGTGATCCTCCTGCCTCAGCCTCCTGAGTGCTGGGATTACAGCCACCACAGCAAGCTTTCCCTTCCTTCTCCTGTACTGTTCGCCTGCTATGTTTTCCAGCCACCATGACATGAACAGTTTTGCTCCACCATGTTTCTGCCTTGGAGCCAGCTGTCCAAGGATTGAATCCTCTGAAGCCATGAGCTGAATAAACTTTAAGGTGTGGGCTTCAGTATTGTGTACCAGAAACAGAAAAGCTGATTGGTACATACACCATGATCAAGCTGGTTCTATTCCAAAAGTGCAAGGATGGTTCAAAGTGCAGACAAACATAATACATCACATAAATGGAGTGAAGGATAAAAGTCATGTTCATCACAATAGATTCCGAAAAAGCCTTTGATGAAATTCAACATCCTTTCTTGATAAAAGTCCTGAACAAATGAGTTATAGAAGAATCATACCTCAGTGTAATAAAGGCTATGTATGAGAAACCCATAGCAATAGAGAAAAATTGAAAGCATTTCTTCTAAGAACAGGACAAAGTTATCCACTTTCACCACTCTTATTCAATATAGTATTTGAAAGTTTACCCAGATCAAATAACAGATGAGAGACAGTAAAACTGAGGTTACAAACAAGAAAGAAGGAAGTCAGGCTATCCCTATTTGCAGATGATAAATTCTATACATGCAAAAGTCTGAATACTACCACAAAACTAGAGCTTTCAAAAAGTTTTCCAACACACAAAATTAGAACTTTTAAAAAAGAGGCATAGAAATAATTTGTTAGGCAGAGTTAAAGAAGTACACACAGGAAACAATGCAGGGCCTGAGCAGAAAGGTGCATTGTGCCCTGACTCTGGGTGCATTCATGTGTTTTGGGGTGGATACCTGTGAAGTCTGTGAGTCTGCAGAAAGTATGGGCTCACCTGTTGGGCAAGGGGTTTCCTCCGCATCAGTGGAAGGTACCAAGTATACTACAATAACCTAAAATAATAGTTGGTTATTCAACCGTTATAAACCAATTATTTTAAAGACTTTGTAAGAGACATTTAAATAAACCTTACGTATCTTAAAACTCTGAAGCAATCAACAGCCTGATAGCAGAAAACACAAGAAATTATCTTGGTAAAATAAAATACCTTTGTTTTTAGGCCAGGTTTTGTGAGCTCTTTATGAGGATCAGATCTGTCCAGGCAGCTACCCCTCTCAGCCTTGGAGGGAGTTAGCTGTCCTTGGTCCCTGAGGTCCAGTGGTTCCTCCTTAGGTGGAAACTTTTCCTTGTTTATAATTTTTTACCCAGAATCACACATTATAATTTTAACCCTTGCTAACCCTAAGAGAGCAATCTTAAGTCTTTACGTAGTAATAATTTACGAAAATACACCCACCTGTCTTCTTTTTACAAACCTCAAGAAGCCAAGAACACCTGAATTGACATTTAGCGACTGCTCACTCACATGCTTTATTATAAACACTTCTATTTTAATCACCTGTCCTAAGAACTAATTTTATATTTCTTGTGAAATCAAAATATTAGAGAAACTTAATACTTAAGTTGTTTCTCTGCCCAAGGAAACCCTAAAGGCTGTTATACTTGAAACAGAAAGCAGCAGATGTTGTGTCTTTCTAATAAAGGTAAATAGTAACGTGACTGGCA